CAGCGTTGCTGAATGCACCTGCTCAAAAAAAAAAAAGAAAAACAACGGGTGTCGTGTGACACTGATTTGATATGCCATTTCGGCGCGCCTAATCGGCGTTGCGGTTCTTTAGCACAAAATTGAATGTCAGTAATAAATGAGAGTTTAGAGTTCGTTATTACAGCTATAACTTCTTTTGAAGCACTTTTTGCACAGGTTGCAATACATGCTATCAGCATCTGTAACATCACAGAAATTTGATGCCAGAATCATAAGGTGACGTAGCCACCTTAATTTTAATGCGAAATCTTTCTTTGCAAACTTCTTACACAACGAGCATATCTATCTATCTATCTATCTATCTATCTATCTATCTATCTATCTATCTATCTATCTATCTATCTATCTATCTATCTATCTATCTATCTATCTATCTATCTATCTATCCATCCATCCATCCATCCATCCATCCATCCATCTATCTATCTATCTATCTATCTATCTATCTATCTATCATCTATCTATCTATCTATCTATCTATCTATCTATCTATCTATCTATCTATCTATCTATCTATCTATCTATCTATCTATCTATCTATCATCTATCTATCTATCTATCTGTCTGTCTGTCTGTCTGTCTGTCTATCTATCTATCTATCTATCTATCTATCTATCTATCTATCTATCTATCTATCTATCTATCTATCTATCTATCTATCTATCTATCTATCTATCTATCTATCTATCTATCTATCTATCTATCTATCCATCCATCCATCCATCCATCCATCCATCCATCCACCCATCCATCTATCTATCTATCTATCTATCTATCTATCTATCTATCTATCTATCTATCTATCTATCTATCTATCTATCTATCTATCTATCTATCTATCTATCTATCTATCTGTCTGTCTGTCTGTCTGTCTGTCTGTCTGTCTGTCTGTCTGTTGTATCACCCAGTCCGAGCACGCGCTTCCTGTCCGACTCCGACTGCGCGTCTCAGCGACCCCGATGCGCGTCCCATGTGGCGCACACGTACGCCTCTCGCGTTGCTGCAGAACGCAGACCGTGTTAGCAGAGCTCACCGATGACTGTCTCTTGCAAGGCTATGTTATTCTTCTGCCAGTCATAACACCACACATTCTCGCCTGTCCACGAAAAAGAAAGAAATTCTGCCTACGCCCCTGGTCAGCGGTGCCATATTTCCGGCAGTCTGGGAAAGTGACAATTTCTAAACTCATAAAAAGCTACGGAACGATGCACAGTTAAAAAAAGCGTGTGTAATATAACCGATTCCATTCCGCTGCTGAAGCGAAGGCAGCTTCCCTGCTATTTGGACCAAACCAACTACACGCACTAATTGGTGTTCATCAACAATGCCCCTGGTTACATCAACGTGACAACGTATGGTGCATGATACGTTTAGCGATAACCAACTATCAGGGGCAGGACCACTGCCAAATGCGACTAAACTTCTGTGTGGTGCCCGAATGCTGTCGATCCCTCAAGCACCACTCTAGAATACCGCTGGCACAAAGAGCGCCGCGTAGCGCATACAGAGAGATCTACCGAAAAAGAAGGGCGAATGAGGAAATCTGACAGATGCGCTATAAAGAGGAGGGAAACAGCTTCTACCGAGTCTCCGGGCAAGGACAGGGATGTTCCCTTCGATGAGCGCATGGCGCAAGCAGCACTGCCCCTCAAGCAGCGTCGCACAACAACTCCTTGAACCAAGGGGAACCAACGGCGTCCATCCAGGTGCGAGCGTTTGCACTGGCATTGATTAAATAGAGGCGGCGCTGCCTAAGCTAACAAAGCAGTAAGGTGCTGCCGTTTGCTTAACGTTGTGCTGCCGCATCATATGTGGCGCTGCACCACGTGGCTTTCAAGGTACCCCCTATAGGTCCCAAATGGAATGTACACGTGTATACATACTCCTACACTGTAAACAGAAATAAGCGGAGATGGGAGTAAATGACTTGTTCTCTAGCGCACGCCCCGATGGGGGCTTTATAAACACCGTCCAGAGGGAGTAAAACTTTACGTTCCATCGGTAGAGAGTTTTGGCATGGTGCCAGGGGGTTTTCATTTACATCCATCGGGGAACTTTTTCAAGTCAATATAGGAGAAAATTTTTACATCAATCGAGAAAACAATTTTGTCAGCAGCCGTACCATGTGCAAGCGTAACTTTAATTGCATCACCTTGGAAGCACACAGCAATGATTACAGTACATAAATGTGCACACAACGTTCACGCGATGTTACAAAACTCACACTCACCACAGCTTGCCACCCGCGCTGCACACCTACGATTCAGTCACAGGGTGTATATAGATACCATATTCTCACCTCCCATGTAGCCCTGGAGGGATCCTTTTTTGCTAATAATTAAGCAATAAACATGCACTGCGTTGGTATAAAGTTGCGGTGGCCTGATGTAAGCACTTCAGCACTCATGTCTTTTATCTTAAGTCTGTCTAATATTCAATATTGTTTACCTATAGCGATTGGGGTTTATCACTTGGTGCTCTGTCGTACGGGCTGTATTTACATTAGCAGTACTCGTGTGTGAATCCGCAAAATGCACTGAATCGTAGGCCCATGTACTCAGATTTGGGTGCACGAAAAAAAACCGCAGCCCGGAGGGCTGCGGTTTTTAATTTCTGGAGCCCTCCACTACAGTGTCTCTCATAAACATATGATTGTTTTGGGACGTTAAGCCCCACAAATCAATCAATCAATCAATCAATCAATCAATCAATACATCAATGAAATGCACTGAATCATACACAAAGCCCGAGCGGCCATGAATGAAGCCATCAACAAGGCGTATTCAGCAGCTCCAGCGACGAAGCGAGGTAGACCACCGCTAAGTACGGAACGGTGATTCGATGAATGACCGCTGGCGATCACAAAATGCTTGCTGATGTGTAGTTTACGCCTCGTTATTTTTCCCATGCACAGCAATAGGTGTCCGCTATCCACGAATTTTAAGCTATGGATGATAAACTTAAACGAATGAGATGGTTCGCTGTCGCGGTTCCTGTTGCTCGCCTGCATTGCATGGGCATGCATGCCTTACGCTGTTTCTGCGTGTCTACACCTCGTTCGGCGCTCGCCTTCCAGTTAGTCATTTCACAGCTTCGGTCGCAAGGCGCACAAGACTGTTATTCATCCCAGCAGACTTTATTTTTTGAAAAACACATTCTTTGCCTCGCCGGTGGTCAGTGCTAGCTCATAGAGCTCGCCACGGCGGCCAACGCGCAGTGCGAGTTCACGACGACGCCGGCTTGATACTGACGGCATAACGAGATTTTATTACCGCTTAGATGTCGCAGCCGGTAAAATACTGGCGACACCCCGAAAAGCTACCATCGTTGGAGACGGGAGGAGTGCGTCGCCGGCGCAACTTTAACACTGGGTTCCGGGAAGCCTGCCGTGGTCGAGCGAAGCCTACTTCGGACCGCTTCGAAGTTTCAGAGTGAAACTCCAGGAGCAATCGGTGACGATTGTACTCCGCCTCGTTAGGCGCTCGCCTTGTAGTTGGTCATTTGACAGCAGCGGTCGCAAAGCGTAAAAGACTGTTATTCACCCCAGCAGCATTTATTTTTTTGTGAAACACATTCTTTGCCTCGCCGGTGGTCGGTGCTAGCTCGTAGAGGTCGCCACGGCAGCCGGCGTACAGTACGAGCTCGCTACGACGCCGGCTTGATACCGACGGTATAGCGAGGCCTTCTTACCACTTAGATGTTGCAGCCAATGTGACACTCCGAGAAGGGACCATCGGCGAAGATGGAGTGAGCGCTTCGTCGCCGCAACCTTCACACCGGTTGCCAGCCAGCCTGCCGTGGTCGAGCGAAGCCTACGTCAGACCGCTTTACGTTGAAACTCCAGGAGCAAGCGCTGCCGATCATGACAGCTTAATTTTGCTACCATTAAATTATTCTTCTTAATTTATTGTAACTCGGCCCTTTGAAGTGCGTAATTCATGGTGTTTAGTTGAGGAATTGGACCGATGTGCAGCGTGGTTCAACGGTGCAAAATATATTGAAATGATCGCAGTGAACACTAACCGGTCATTGCAATTCTTCGCTGCACTGATAATTTCATTGCCTATCGACAGATGCTCACATGGTTAACCACACAAAGCACTGGTGTTTCACATCGATGTGCAAACATATGCCAGCACACACACACACACGCACACACACACACACACACACACACACACACACACACACACACACACACACACACACACACACACACACACACACACACACACACACACACACACACACACACAAGTAACGTGCAAAACGGGCTTTTAAAGCTACCATAGACAGCTTGTAATCACATGACTTGAAACTCCCTGGGGAGTTTAGCAAGGTCATGTCATTCATTAACTCTGTCATTAAGCAGGGGGCGTTTTACGACATGTGCTGAGTTCACTCCCTACCTGGGAGTAAATATTTGGGGCAGGGGAGTTTTGTGGGCTAATGTGCTAGAGAAACTCCATCTCGGCTAACTTTTGCTTACAGTGTACAATGGCTCATGAAGTGTGCGTGTCGCGAAAACCCGTGTACACGTATGTGGCGTTGACGTTGTGTGCATAACTACCCAATGACATATCGCAGTGTTGATGCTCGTGAATCGGACCATTAAACAAACGGGTGATCAGGGAGGCGAAATGATCACGGCTACTACAGTTTTGTAGTTAGTAGCCATTATTAGGTGCGTTCGTAACGACGGAGGTAGTATCGCTTATTAACCTCCGCATTAACAACTGCACTTTGTAACCGGTTACTATACATATGTGACAAGTAGTTAGTAAACCAAATTTCAAAGGTACTAGAACCTTGTTTTCAATAGTCTATATCACAAAGAATTTTGTTGGCCTAATCACGTATGAGTGAATGAAACACCAATGAAGTGGCACTTTTCGAGCTTTTTTCCCACTGTTCGTCACCATAAGTAAGGCCTGAGAAGCACACGACACATTTTAGCTCACCGATTTTGTCAAGAGGACGAGGCTGTTCATGGTCTGGTCCATGTCGGGCACCGGACGTCGATTGATCCTCAAAATGCGAACCATAGACTGCTCAGCGCGCTCAATGCGACCTTTCGTGAGCAGCCAACGTGGAGATTCTTGCAGAAAACTGCACGAAACAAGCAAAAGAGCATGCTTTTAGAACTCTCTCGATTTGCAGTGTTTCGCGTGCTAGGTAGTAAAAAAGATTGCGAAAAGAAGAGCACGCGCAAACTCTTTCTGTTTATTATAGGCCTGAAGAACTGAATAAATCAGATAACTATAGAACGGCGAGCTCATACACAGATGATATGCCTAAACACACGAGCGCATGCTGCAAGGCGCCTTCTCTTCATTGGAGAGGCTAAGTGAAGGACCACTACGGCGGACAGATGCGTCCTTTGATAGAACGTAAGCTTGAAATACCGAGTGGCCATTTCAATGACCACTTTCTTAGATAATGTCTCACCTACAGGCGAGGACCACAAGTGCATGCATTACAACGGTCGGCTAAATTGGTCTGTTTATTTTTCTTTACATTTGGAGATGCGCTCTCACTGTATATTAGACAGTGTCTCATTTGGCTCTTTTCGCAGTTCAGTGCAATTTCGTGCGGTATTCGGACAGTGCATTTGACTAATAAGCTCACATGGCTTTTGTCGAGCTGTTCATCCCCCCAAATGTGCGAGCAAAGGTTCATTCGGCTTCTCAGTGGCCGGACAAAGAAGCCAACGACAATTTTCGACAGCGCTGATGCAGCTCAGGGTGATAACCCTGGCTGAGCTTGAGATCACAATCTTGGGTTTTTACCAAAAGAAGTAGACCTACCACCCTAAATTGGCCCTCAGTAGGCAACCTTAGCCATTTTATACAGAAACACCACGCGAGAAAATGTTACTGGTGTGGGTGGTGGCGTTGCTTTGAATCGTTCAATGATTCGTTCACATCGACAACTTTCAAGACAAGCACGCTAGAGGAATGACAAAGGTAAAAACAGAGACAACCGCAGATATTCAGTTAAACATACATAGTGAAATTCTACACACACACCCACCCACACACACACACACACACACACACACACACACACACACACACACACACACACACATGCGCGTGGTTTATTTTGATGTTTCTGCCAAAGTCTGGCCTTCATCAGGATTGAGGGTACAGTTTGTTGGTGCTCAGCTTTATACAATCTTATATGAGAGGAGAGAGAGAGAAGAAAAGAAAGAAAAAGAAAAAATGGCCCCGTATCTGGTGAACTGGTGAATAGTACTCTAGAGGCGCTGCATGCCTCCAGAATACCAGAATGCCTCGAGCGTGCAGCGGAGGCGAACGAGCGCGTCAAGTGACGTCACACGTAAAACATCAGCGCTCTTTGGCAGTTATTTTGGGAAACAAAGCGCGCGCGCCTTGCGCGCCCGTCTCGCAGGAGATAAGGTGTAGAACGCAAGGTGGCAGCTAGGTGCCACCACCGTGTTGTCTTAGCAAAGCGTTGGAAACACTTGCCTTTTCGTTCAAGCGTTGCATGGTCAGCGCAGCATGATAAACGCTACGGTCCTTAGAATTACTTATGTATGCCTTTTCTAGTAAAAAATACACATACATAATATTACCGTGTTGTTCTGGTGTTTGAGATATGCGCAATTATTGCTTTTTAATTGAAAACCACGCAAGTATGAACGCTAAACTTTGAGCAATATTGGTGGGCACTGCGGATGGGGTCGGCCATTTGGAGAATCGTTTGGCCACTTTGGTGCCTTTTAGGGTACCGTTAAGAGCGGACAAACAGACAAACGTACAGACAGAAAGAGCAAAATTTTTGTGTCAAAGGTCCCTAAAAGAGACTGTCGTCTTTAAAAAAGAAATGAGGATATGAGGAGGACTCCCCCGGCTGCCCCTTTCCACTCTTTCTCTTTTAACCTTCCCCCCCTACTATCTCCCTTTTCTCCCCCTTTCTCTTTTTTCTTTCTTCTTTCTTGCTTTTCCTTTTTTTTTGACTTTCACCTTTAGGATATCTGTGGTCTGCGTATCCTTCCTTCCACTAACGTATTGTTCCCGACCAGACGGCCCTGCATGGCTGTGGCGGTACGGTGTCCAAAAAAAAAAGAGCTTTTTTACGAAGTTCAAGCCTTAAACTACTGAGCTCTTCTTGAACATCTCGTGGTTAAAACAGGTGCGCCGCGTATTGCCGCAGAAGCTGGCAAGTGGGTGCAATGTCAATCCGGTCTGCTTCTGGATTACGTATGCAGTAGAGGCCTCCCGATTGTGCACAGGGTTGATGTTGGGCATGTCATGCTTGGCACGATTGATTAGATAGTAAGGTAGAAAGAGAAGCAGACAACAGCTGTACTTAGGAAGAGTAGTTACACTTGGAACTATCTTGAGTTGTCCAGTGCCTGTCACAGCTCAAGTGCCATGAACTAAGTTTTTATTGTCATTATTGCCGTTATTGTTTTCTAATGCATTAATTGCTGCAAATGTACCCAGATTCTCACTTGTTCCTCCATCGAAGGTGTTAGATCGGTGGATGAGGTATGACTCTCGTTGTTCACGTTCTCTGATAGAAATCTCGTTTATAAGAGCGTTACTGATAGTTTGTCGAATGCATGGTCGGAAAGGTTTAGATGTTTTGATAGAGGTAGACCTGGCCTCTGTGATTATTGAAACTAGTCCTAAAAGGTGTTTTTGTGTTTCCGATGTAATGCATACTGCACACGTTGCACTTGAGTAGGTATACCACATTAGAGGAATGGCATGTTAGGTTTCGTCGTATGTTAATCGAAAACTTGGATTGTGTGCTGGTTGCTTTGTCTGTTTCTCCCATTACTTTACGTACAAGACATCGTGACTTTAAACAAGGTCAGCATGAATTAATAGGGGTCGAAGTATTGATATCAGAGTGGACAAGTGTGTTTTTGAGGTAGGTTGCATGGTCGTCGGTAAATGGTGCTAGGAGTGGATGTGAATGCGCGTTTCAGACGATCACTTTGTTGCAAAGTGTTGTAATGTCGTTTAAGGATTTTGTTTGCAATGGGGAAGGTTGTGCTGTAAGTTAGACAGAGGTTTGTTTGTTGCGAGTCTCCTTACGGTGGTCACTTCATAAGTAAGTCAACACGCTTCAGTTATCTCGCTTTCAGAATGGCGTCATGAATTGCATGGGAGGGGGGGTATTTTCGTTTATCTAGCATAAGTTTTAGCCTCTGTGAGCTCGTATCAAAATGACCATCTCTTGAGGAGATTTACTTAAACCGCTGAGTCTGGCTGTATAGAATACTGTTTTTACAGTGGCGCGGGTGATCACTTTGGTAATAAAGGTATTATTGACGATCCGTTGGTTTGCGATATAGGGTTGTGGAAAGCTTGTCTTCTTCTATCGTTATGGTAATACCAAGAAAATTTACGATTGCTTGCGAGTAGGTGTGTCTGAAGTGTATGTTCAGATGTTCAGCGTTTTAAGTGCCGATAAAGTTCAGAAGTTCATCCTCGCTGTGGGCCCAAATATGAAAGATGTCGCCTATATTTTCTGTATAAGAGTGGTTTCCGGGAACTTTGTGCAAGAAATTCGGATTCTAGCTTTCCCATATATGTGTTGGTATAATTGGGGGCCATTTTGGTGCTAATGGCGGTCCCTCTGATTTGTCGAAAATACTCTCGGTTAATTTCAGGTAAGTTTATTTCTAGGACCATCCTCGTCAAAGTTGCCATGGCAGAGAAATCTGGGGTGTCAGGTTGTCTATGGTCTGTGTACATGTTTCGTAATGCAGCTATGTCGTCATTGTGAGGAACATTTGTATACAATGAGACACATGAAAAGTAACCCAATACGAGTTTTTCCGCACACGCAGACCTGCAATGTCTCGAGAAAAGAATGTGTGGTGCCCTTTATCTAAGACGTGAGGGTGCATGGAATGTGGCTAATTATTTTATCCACGTGCGCTGATATGGGTTCAGTTATTATACCAAGGCCTGATATGATTAGTCGACCTGAGTTACTGGGTTTATGAATTTGTGGCAGGATGTATAAGCGACCTTGACGATGGTATGCTGCTCGCATTAGTTTGTGGTCAGTGTTGGTTACCTTTTCCGCGTCCGACAGTTTCTTTAGTTCTGCTGATACGATACGTTTGAATTCGTCTGTAGGATCCCGTGGGAGACGTTCGTGAAATTTTGAGTCGTCTTGTTCGTAGTATGCTTCTTGTAACTAGTTTGTTGCAATAAAGACTGCAATTGCTTCTTTATTTTCAGCAGGTTTTACTGTTGTGTCTGTCCTAGATGCCAGATTTTTCATGTTAATTTTTTCATATTTTGTCAAGTTTTGTCGCTTTCCCTTCTGTCTGTGGTACTCGTGTGCTATATCTTTTTATACTGCGATGATATAATGTCCAGACACTTATATCAATTACTGCTTGGTGTACAATCATTTGTTTTACGACGGTGAATTGTTTCGTGGTTAGAAGGCGTTTCCAATGAATATTCGCGCAACCTTAAGCTTCTAACGAAGTTGTCGAGGTCTAGGAGCAAGTAGAATTCGTCAAAACATTTTTTGGTTGGGCAGAAGCTTAGTCCTCTAGATAGTAGTTCTTCTTCTTCAGGTGACAAACTTGTGTCCGATAGGTTTATAACCACAGTGTCAGAGGGTGTGTTCATAGATTGGTGCTCGTTTGTACAATTAGTAGGTTCCTGGATGGTGGTGTTGTAGTTGTAAACTTCGCCAATGTGAAAATCCCTAAACGACACATTAACAATCTCGAACGAAGTGAACGTCTGAAACGCGCATACCCATCCGCTCCTGGCGTCGTTTACCGATGACCATGCAACTTCAAAGACACACTTGTCCACTCTCAAATGAATACTTCAACACCTAATATTCATGCCATCCATGTTTAAAGTCACGATGTATTGTATGTAAAGCGATGCGACAAACATACGAAGCAACCAGCACACAATCCAAGTTTTTTATTAACATACGAGAAAACGTAACATGCCACACCTCTAACGTGGTATACCTACTCGAATGCAAAGTGTGCAGTATGCAGTACATCATAAACACAAAAACACCTTTTAGGATTCGTTTCAATATTCACAGAGTCCATGCGAAATCAGCCCCAAGTCTACCTTTATTGA